TTCGATGAATGATTCTTATCTAACCAGTTTATATTAATATATTAATTCATATTAAAACAAAATCTTTACCACTTTCTAAACTTGTATTTAAAAACTTGAAACACTAAAAATGTAATTTTGACAAACCAACTGAAGTATTTTTTTCCTGACGGATTACCCCGGTATATAAGAAATGCCAACCTCTGGTATCTAACACAAATGCCTGGCAAGGTACCTTGATGTCTTGTGAATACATGTAATTATGTAAAAATAATTCTTCAATGTCAATTGCAAAATATTGGAAAAAAAATAAATTATTTTATTGAGGAACGCCTCACCTGTCCTTAATCAGTAATCGTAACTTGACATATTTCTTTATTTACTTTTAATCGATCTTTTTAGTAAACCTTGTCTGTAAATAATTTCAGTAAATGTACCCTTCCTTAGCTCTTCTATTTTTTCAAAGGAACATTCATCATAGACAGCTTTAAGAAAGTGGGATCGGAAATGATTGATTTCTACATAACTGCATGCACTTACTTTTTTCTATTCCACTTCACGCATTCTATACGAGTTTACCAAAACTTATGTGATAAATCAAATTCAAAATTAAATTAAATTCAGTTAAATAAAATTAAATTAAAATGGAATTGCGTTCACCGTGCTGAAATATTAAATTAATCACACAGAAATACACATCTAGTTATTTTAATTGTTTGAAGTTAATTATTTTGATACAGCATGTAAACACTTTTGAAATATTTCTATAATTGGTAAAAATATGGTAACATAATTAAATATTTAACTTTTTGTAAAATAAAAGGTAGGTGGGTTAGTATTGAGATATACTTTCACAGTTTTCCTGCCTGGGAAACATGGGGAAAACTACACATTGGTGGCTTCCATGTCGGGAATCTTTATGGAAACCACTGAGGCATGTTTACATGGTTTCCTATCTTGGGAAACTTACGGGAAACGACAGGTTGGATGTTTCCATATCGGGAATCTACATGGAAACCACCGGGGCATGGTTTCCTATCTAGGGAAACTTACAGGAAACCACAGGTTGATTGTTTCCATGTCGGGAATCTATGTGGAAACCACCGAGGTATGTTTCCATGGTTTCCTATCTTGGGAAACTTACGGAAAACCACAGGTTGATTGTTTCCATGTTGGGAATCTATGTGGAAACCACTATGTGGTTTCCATAAAATGGAAACTATATGGAAACTACTGATGTCACGATTCCCATATGTTTTCATCGGGTTTCCAATTTTGGGAAACCTGAGTTTTCATCCTGTGCATACAATACATATTTTACATGCTCGTATTTTACTTACATAAAAATATTTCCTTTTAAAAAATAATCCATTATGATAAAACAGATAATATTGTTATATACGATAGCTGTTCATTGTACAAGTAATGTTCATAAGGCCATTATAAATTAAAATATATCTAGATTCTCATCTCCTCCCAGCGAGATTTTTTTTTACTCCCGCCCTAACTTTTTACTTCCATGTTTCTTAATAATGATCGGTATTCAACTACCCGACTCAACTCTAGTTTTAAATCCCGCGAAAATCGGCATTAATGCATTTTACAACTGGGCCATTGAAAGATTGGTGATTATGTGAAGTAAGAAATAAATTGATCTCTACTATGACTTTTATTCGGATTTTCTACGAAATCTGCACCGATTGACCAGGTCAATAAAAAAATCTGCAAAGTATAAAAAATATAAAGTATTAGCCGCCTCTCACCTCGATTTTTTTTTTCAAAAATTCAGATGAGAATCTAGGAATTTTTTTAATATGGTCTAATCAGTATGATTTTTTTTAATTTTGTGATTTAAACTTATATATGAAGGATTGCTTCTAGAGTAAGGGTGGCGAATCCAGGAATTTTGTAAAGGGGGCGCAGCAGAAGGCAGGTGGTCTGCGGCTGCACCGAAGTCCCAAATGGGTCTAAGGAAAGGCCGTTGTGGGGGTTTTGTGTGGGGGTTTAGGGGCAAAACTACCGGAAGGTGACAATTTTTCTTTTACAAATAAAAGATGTTTTTTCCGTGATATAAGGACAATGGACAGAAAAGTTTTACATACGAAAAATTGAAACTGTGGGGGGGGGGGGGGCGCGCCCGATCCTGGACCCGCCTTTGATTAATAATCCATTTTTATTTTTCCTTACAAGTTAAACAAAGGGTCGTGATGGGGGGGGATCCCTGTTCATTCTTTTGTGTCTGGGTACAATGACACAACAGATCTCACTTACTAAACATACCAATATTGATTGTCATACACTGAAAAAAAATGATGCAGATAAAACATGTAATGTATGCCAAGACAATACTTCTGGTCACATTTTATGTATGTTTCTTTTGATATTGTACATGTTATTAATTCCCTTCAATATTGTCGGCCCCATCCGTCACAATATTTGTACCGAGTATTTGAACATTTTTTCATCAATTTCAGCTTGAATATTCAGCAAAATTTAAAACTGCAATTATGAGCGCGTCAAAATCAGATTCCTCCCAAATTATCTGAATTGGAACTATAATTATTAGCGAACCGACTTATAATTGAGTATATTCGGTAAACAACTAAATTTCATTCAAGACGCTTCTTTGGGGTATATGTCTTGCAGAAACATGCAATCCATCGGATTAAAGATGTAATATTTGATAAATAATCGTCTTATCCTCGGACCGTCATAATGAGTTCACAATATATTTTGAAGTTTAAAAGTCATTGATTCATCAAGAGCCCCCCTTCTTTCCTGCCTTATTTAGTTTGAACCCTTTTGACACGGGCGTAGTCAGGCGTACGTTTTTACGCACAAACGTCAACATCAATTTTGCAAAAAAAAGGAGAGACGTAATTTCCATGTAAGCCCTTAAAACATACATATCATTTTGCTACAATTAACGAATAAATAAATATTTTTTTTAAATAAAAAAGATACATGTACTTTGAAACAAATTTGAATTAAGATAAAAAATAAAAGAAAATTAACATAATCAATTCAACTGTATTTTGTATCATACTAAATCTTTCATATCCTTGCCTTTATATTGTGACTTTCTGATTTGTGCATGCTGTATTTATCTAAAAATTACTTAAAAACATTAAGGACACCAGCTTGAAATTTCAGCCATTTCAGACTGCTTAAAAGTCTAACTTGTTATATCTCTGAGTGAGCTAAATTGTGATGAAATTAAATGAATAATCTTGTGTCTACATGCATAGGCGTCGGAACGGGAGGGGGGAGGGTTAGGGGGTTGAGCCCCCCCCCCCACTTTTTTTGCAAAAAAAATTAAATAGGCATTGAAAATTGGGATTTACCTTTTTTTGGTTTAGCCCCTCACTTTCGATTAGACCTTTCAATTTCCTTCCGTAGCCCATGACATGTATATTATATCGAGTGAGTCATCTCTGGTGGTATCGCCGACATTAATGAACATCACTGCTGTCTTTGCTCATTACCGCTAAATTTTTGAAATTTTCATGCATTTGTATATACTACTTGTTAAATCTACCGGAATTTATTTCTTATAAACTGTGTGAGCATTTTTGTGAAAAATAAAAAAAAAATATTCAAACGATATTGTATACAATCTCTCAGATAAATTTTCCAGGATATTATTTTTGTTTAAAAAAATTTTTTAAATTAATTGTGATATAGAAGCAGGCATGTACATCATGTGAAAATTACTTCCAAATGTAACATTTGTTAAATTAGTCTGAAGATGTTTTCTAAAGAACCATTATTTGCCACAGCCCCCTTTAATAGCATCAACGTCCCCATTAAAAAAAAATTATATGGCCTTTTTTTTTTTAATTTGAAGTATTAATTCTTTGGGGGGGGGGGGGCTCAAAGATTTTTTCATTTATTTTCCCGACTCTCCCCTAAACATTAAATAAATTACACAATATGTCTTTAATGTCAAATATTTCTGTAAATAAGGACAGACGAAACGTTCCTCCAAATCTGTTTTGTATATCTTCGTAATATATGAAAAACATTCAAAACTTTAAAAACATTCTGATTTCTAAACCAGTTTCTAAACGTTTTTGAAAAATCCCAACACTTAAATATTTGAAATTGGAAAATTATTTTTCTTCCCCAAAGGATTACATAAGAAAAACTACCCCTGGTATCTTGCAGAAATGCCAGGTAAGGTACCTCAATTTTTTGTAAGTAAACATGTTTAAGTAGCAATACTTCAATGACAAACTCTTAGAAACAATTACATGTATCTATTATTAAGGAACGTCTTGTCTGTCCTTAAATAGAATTGACTCGTGTCATTATGGCTGTGACGGGGGCAAATCGTCATTTATGACGTTTATACAGACAAAATATATAGATCTCAGTTCGCGTTGTAAAATCTTGTTACAAAATTCAGATGTTTACTTTACCTTGTTATGCATCTGTTTTACGAAGAATATATTGATCTGACACTAAACTTTTTCAAATTCTTTGGACTCGCTAGACCTCAGCAAAATTTTAATCGTGAATGTGAACAAACCTGAACTTTAATTGTGGTAAAAGAATTTCTATTGTAAAATTTTCACTTTGGTTATGATGTTTTAGCATTCAAAATGATGTGTACATAACAAATGCGGAATTACATGCAGGCACAACCTCTATCAATACGTAAACATGGGATATTAAAAAAATCAAATGATCGGAATAGGTATCATCTTTCAGCAAAATTTATGTTCATTATTGGAAATGTCCAAGTGAAACTAAGCTCTGTGCTAAAAAGAGATATTCCTTTAATTTAAAAATATTTTAATGGCTTTAGATCGTATACTTAATAATGAAAAAAAAAATTGATAACGTTCATATTACAAAGGTGAGAAATGTCTGACTTGCAACTTGCATATTATGACGTTGTCTTTATCGTCGTTTTTCTCATTATGACGTCAAAGTACATAAGGGCCCTTTTCGCATGGGACGGCTCATATAATTAGTCTGATGCCCATTTGTAATTCAATATCTTTTTTATTTAACAGAAACCCGTAGTTGCAAAACTAGCATGTAACACCCTTTGGGCAAAAGAATCTGCGATGTGTATCAAGGAGGGCACCTCTGTTGCAGACCAGGACATTGTTTCCCTACTTTATCATGTTTTCTTTTCAATCACGAAAGGATCGTGTGAAGGAACTCTGTTGGAGCCATTCGTAACAATTATCGAAAAGGCCAATACCTTACAGGTATCAATATTTTTAACCAAGCTAAAATAAACAAAAATTCTAATATGTCTCTTAAATTGAACATTATTTAGCATTAAATTGTTATATCAGAAATTACATGTATGTAGTAATTAAAAAAATCTTTCCCATTGTTTGCTTAAAAACTGTTTGATTCTTTGAAAACCATTTTTAGGTTTCTAATCCATAAATTATGTGAATTATTATGTCTAAATATACTGCTTTATATTTGTTATGAATTCGATTTCATTATATCTGTTGCTATTAGGGATAAAATAAGAAATGCAAAGTTAGAATTTCAAAGTGTTCAAATATATAAAAGATACGGTTCAAATACAAAACTTTATTTCTGATTTTCATGAGTGAAACGTCTGATAATTAAACTTTGATAATAATTATGATTTATACTGCAATCACGATATATATATATATTTTATTTTCTTTTAAGAAATGTTTCCTTCCCACCATGGATGCAGTGGATTTGGATGAAATTCGTGCAGCTCTTGCAAATAAAACAGATTATGGGAACTTTCCAATTTTTAGTAAATTTAGGAAGCAATTACAATATATATATATATATATATATATATATATATATATATATATATATATATATATATATATATATATATATATATATATATATATATATATATATTATGTGAAAATAAAGCATTTCATAAATATCAATTTGAATTCATGTAAAAAATAAAACCCTTAAGCTATAGAATTAATTAAGGAATTAATTTCATAGCTACCGAAGTTATACTGTAAAACCTGGATAAATAAGGGACGTTAACGCGTTATAAACCTTGTTTATTAAAAATTATTTAAATTGAATCAAAAATTTTAAATAGAATTTGAATATATTTTAAATGTAACCTCAAACATGAAGTCATTGTGAAATATTTTAAATAATAGGCCAATTGAAAATAAAAACTACAACTTCCTGAGAAAATTTATGCAACATTTTTCTTTCTCCAAGATGGTAAAATTTTTTTAAAGAATTTAAATGCTTTTCTTCATTTTTCATTGAAATCAACTTTAGAAATAAATGAAATTTATCTTCTTCCTCTCTAAAAAGATTGGAAAATTTTATTGAAGCGGCATTAAAAAAAACATAAACTGCTCCTGCACAGGTAATACCAGTTTAAATCGGGTAGCTATTCAAATTCATTCCTTTTAATCTAATTTTTCAATAATTAAGTAAAGAAAACAAGACATTTTTACTCTCTAAAATGCCTTCAAATTGTACTTGTAAATGTAACGTTTTGTGACTCAAGTCATTGTGACACAGGCAAATATATCGGTCAGGCAGTATATGCCTTGCTTATGTAAAATACAATATAAAATCAAATTTTTATTCAATCAAAATTAAATTATTTTAAGATCAGCAAAAATCAGGACGTACATGTATCCACCCCTACACGATTGTAATAAGAATCCTATTTTTATTTTCATTTTTAACTGAAAGTGATTGCTTAGAACATGTTTTAATGACAAAATATTTTCTTGAAAGTAATCTTTAACAGAACTATAATAATGATTAGTGAAAAAGCATCATTGAAAGAATTTATTTTTAATCTAAGAACAGTTTTCAACGTTTTTATCAAATATTTCAGAATGCCCAAATGGACATGTTTATCTTGTTGGAAATGTAAGTATCTATGATAACCCGAAATTTATTAACATGCCTCACATAAAACTCACTCATACTTATTTTATAGCCAATACAGACAGAGAAATAGAGTTCTTCATATGTTGTTCTATAACGATTTTATACATGAAATATATGGAGATAACAAACAGTATTCAAGCTCAAAAGAACATCGAACAATACAAAATAAGAGCAGAGCAAACATGGACACCCAAAACATCAGAGGTGGGATCAGGTACCATGGAGGTGTGAGCATCCCCTGCCAACCGGAAAACAAATAATTATATGATGACTAAATTTAATGTATTAAACTTCCGAGTTTAAATAATGCATTATGATGACTAGATACAGGAGTTTAAATGTTATTCTGAAAAAGTTAAATAAACTAATTAGATATTTTCTTATACACATTAACATTTATGCAACATTTTTGTGTGAGGGAGGGCGTATGTGTGTGTGAAGGTGTGAGTGTGTCTGAGAGAGGGTGTGTGTGTGTGTGCGGGAGAGAGAGGGTGCGTGTATGTGTTTTAGGGAGGTGTAAGGGTGTGTATGAGAGGGTGTGAGGGAGACTGGGTTTGTGTGTGTGTGTGTGTGTGTGTGTGTAAAGCAGAGAGAGGGCGTGTGATTATAAATATGTGTATGTTTTTATCTATAAGCTAGAAACACAGAAAAAGAAAAAAACAGATGATTATGAGAAAATACTCCATTAGCATAAAGTTTTTGACACTATTCTTAACACTTCAAGAAGCAAATACTAAAGCACAAAACAAATTCAATGTTTTCTTCAGTATTGTTTTTGTACTTGGATGTATATTACCTTTACTACTAAGCCATATAATCATTTGTCCTTATGAAGATATTTTAAACTTTATTTCCCACGACGCTGCTTTGAATAAAGAAAAAAAATTGAGAATGCAATTTCCATTTTTTTTTAAATGCTTGTGAATCTTCATTTATTTATTTTTGATTTCGAAAGAAAGTGCAGAGATGTCAAGGGTGTGTTCATTTATATAAATTGGTAAAGATCCTCCAATAAAACTAGTGTCCAAATAACTGTATCTCACTTCTATTCTCAATGACCGTGTAGTGCAGGGAAGCGCTGTGAGAATTCCATCGGCATCGAAAGTTAGATAGCCAAGCGGTCTAACGTGCTGTTCTATATGAGCCTGATAATGCAGACCAAAAATAAATAAAGAAAAAACGAAGTTATTAAATATAGAAAAACAAAAATTTTAAATAAAAAAAACGAAATTAATATATAAAGAAAAACGAAATCATTAAATAAAGAAAAACGAAATCATTAAATAAAGAATAACGAAATTATTAAATAAATCATTTCTTTTTTCTTTATAAACAGTATTAGTTCGTTTTTATTTATATATTAATTTCGTTTTTCAAGTAGAAAACTGAAACTAAAATAAGGAATTTATAGATGTGCATGGTAAGGGCCTGAACCCATAAATCATTAGCGCACGCGTCTGATAGATCTGATTTTGTTTTGACAATAAACAAGTGTTATTTACGGATGCATTTCTGTAAAGGATTCATAAACTTTTCAATTTTGTTTATGGGAAATTGTTGCTGTGTTGAATCCTGCTTGTATAAATTAATGACATTCCAATAGAGCTCATAAACCGCTAGAAGGTCATGACCTTGCAAATCGTATTACTGAATTCCCCCGAACTTAACCTAACGTCCTATCTGTGTACCCATAAATCTTAGATTGTTGAGACTATAAAGAGAAAAATGATTTGACTACTTTGTGGGATTTGTTTTGTGCAAGTGTGTGCATCATTTGTTCACAAATATCACCGACTTGTACATTTAAATACACAGATTGAGAGTTATGTGAGAACAAGTACTATATAGTAGTTAGTATCACTGACTTATAAATAGTACAGATTGAGAGTTTGACAGTTTGAGAGTTTATAATAAGTGAAAACAAGTACTAGTAGCCAGTACATCACTTCTCATTATGCTTTGATAAAAAGACCAAGAATCAGAAGGGTTTTGCTTTATTTCTAATATAGAAAACAGTAATTAAAATTAACGTATTATAACCACTTTGACTTGTTTTAATTTTTGCACTTCTTCTCTTTAAACATTTTTTTATAATATCAAACAAACCCTTGAAGTCCGAGCGGTAACTTATTATTTTACAGCATTTCCTAAAGCATTTATTGTGCGATAATTGAATAATGAGCCATTGGAAGTTCCTTAATGCTACACTGTTATAAACAACGGAATCTTTACATTCATGTTTATCTTAAATATTTGAGCAATTTATTTGGATAATCTCATTTATGTTTCCTGTCCAGTTTCATTATATGCTGATCATTAGACCTTTCGAACATAGGTTTTAAAGTGTAGGTGTCGGGGTATAAATAGCAGCCAATGAGAAAAATGGAGGAAATTTCAACTTTCTTGCCACTCTTCACTTCGCAGGAGATTTTTTTGAAATTATATCTATACCGTCAATATACACCTTCCGAAAGTTGTTGAGTCATCTAACTAAGTTATCAGATGTGTTTTTGGATGATTAAAATACAGTGTAAAAAAATTAATACAGTCTATAATATTCATTTAAAATTCTGAGGCGATCGAAATTTCAAATTTCTTTGGAGGATGGACAGCTGCTGAATGTTTACATTTACACCGGAAATGCTCGTCGCTATTGACGCATGCTAAAATGGCCGCCATATTCTTCCCTAAAAGAAAGACAAAGATACTCCAAAATAATCCTCAATCCTTTTTATTATCCTTTCCTCGAGTAATAAATTAGAATCAAAGCCCGTGATTAGATCATAGATAGTGTAAACAATTATCACTTTGGGTCAGTCATGCTGTTTCAGTCACTTAGTGAAGCATCACATCGGCGAGATAACAAGGATTATCAGCGTAAACACGTGTCTGTGGCTGCCAGAAGGTTAGACCCAGTAAACAATCAAATAAAAAATGGAAAACAAAATAAAAGAAAATATCACAATTATTAAGTCACACTATTTAAAAAGAGTCTTGGAATTTTTTTTCTTTTAGTTCCAACATGCCCCATGTATGGCTTTTTTTTTGGTTGGAAACCAATACCTTACAAGTTTAAAACCATTCTGGTAAAATACCCGACATGGCACACAGTGTTTCGTAATCTTGGATCGTTAGTAAAGCAGTTCTTTTCCTAGCTATATATCTCTCATCCAAAAACACACCTCTATGGAAAAGCATAGCCCAAAAAGTTTTGATTTCTTTTCAAAGGGAACTGTTCCGTGTGTTTGGTGGCACAGGTTCCGATGCCCACCACATTTGTATATTTGTTCATCAGTTATGCATGGTTTACATAAACAATTTTGACATTCTTCACAGTCTTCATTTTGCGGGATGTTGTATGTCCTTTAAAAATTCACGCCCTCCTCCTCATTGTTATCAGTTTCTCCATTCATCTCATCTAAATCCCAGTTATTAAAATTAAAGAATTGATAATGGCTTCCCTTTGTTCTGAATTTATCTCAATAAAATAACACTTTTCTCTTCTTGTTCCTCCTTTTTGCTAAATTGAGACCGCGTTTTTTTTTTGGAGGGAAGTTTTGCGGGGGAGAGGCTTTTGGGGGACTCAGGATTTCATTTAATTTACTATAATTAACTATTTTTTTATTTATTGATAAAACTGGATATTATAAAAGTAGATGATGAATTCAATAAATTATACATATGTATATTTTGGGGGATATGCTTGTTTTTCTCTCATGCACATGTTTTAGGGATGTTCCCCACTGAGCCTTCTTATCCTGCTCTGTATCACAGCTAGGCTGATTTATTGACATTTGGCGGGAGGTCCCTCCATGTGTCTGTGGAAGTTGGTAATTCCATCTGAAACCTAAACAGGGGTAGTGGGGGCAACCACGTTGTTATTATTCTGTCATTAATGTAAATAAAACTATTCCCACAAAATTTATAAAATCTTCTTTTTAATTAGTAAAGTGCTAATAAATTTTAAAAGCGTTAATTATTATTCACAAAGTTGTCAATGTTTTCTTTATTAGATAACAACTTGTTAAAAAATGGTACAGTCCACTGAAATATGACCCCCTTTAGATAGATAATGTATATTATATATTATAAAGATACAAGCAGGAGTAATTCAAAGAATAATCGTCATTAACTAAGCTTTATTAATACTGGGAAACTATTTATATCATGGCTGAAAACAAACGAAAGCGCCTCCAACTTTTAAGTTAGAAATACCAGCTAATGAAGACAAGAAAATTAATATTATGCAAAGTCTTTAGGAAGTCAGGGAAATGTTAGTAAACAACTGGGAGACCTGTCAACAATGCCGACATCATTGAAAATTTTGCTACCTGGAAGAAGTCAGTAGCCAAGAGATCATCCCAAAACACCTGGAACTTATATTAATGTTAAGAAAAGTCAGGTGAACCAGGACTTCTTTGTGACATCGCTGCCTTCTGTGAAAAAACTCATGGATGTAGCTGCTGTACATGGGAAACATTGTGGAGGAAAATTGGAGGTAAAAAGGCAACAAAACGGGGACATGTCATTCTTTGAAATGTGTTGTTCGAGAACCGATCGTCCTAAACACAGGTATATTTGGGCATTTTACCATACCTTCCGAACGGAAAGTATCTTATCAATGAAAGAATTAATCATGCTTTCTTGTGTAGTGGAATGCTGCCATCCTGTTATTCTAGATTTTGCAGAGAAGCAGGAATCGGTGTTCTTTCTGTAGAAAAACGGAATTCGTTTTTTAAAATGTACAAGACATTTGTCCAGCAAGAGTACGAAGACTCTATTCACACCGCTTTACTAGAGGAAGTGGGACTATATGACAATTTAGACGGCATTGACATCATAACTACCAAGGCTGGGGGGCGGAAAAATCCCAGGACACCAGTGTGGTAGCAAAAGGAGAAAAAACGCATAAAGTTCTCAACTGTGTGCATGTTGCGACCACTGATGATCCAGTTACCCAGAGACATGAAAAAATTGGAACTGAAAAAATTTACAGGATCTTGACAGCAAACAAGTTTCTGTCAACGTCCACACGCATGACAGAAATATTAATTAACAAACTAGTCAGGGAACGTGAAAATGGATTTACCTGCAACCAAAACGACATTTGGCATGGCATAAAAAATATTAAGAAGGCCATGTCCACCATTTCAAGAAGACCACGGTACAGAGAAGGTAAAACGTGGTCCGAGGAAATTTACGACAAACCGGATGCCGTTTCTACACATTTCTACTGGGCCATCAAACACTGTGGTGGAGACTGGGTACGCTCAGAGAGATGTTAGACAATATCATAGATCACTATAAAAAAAACCATGAAAGATGTCATTCTTCCTCAAGATGTAAAGTGGATCCAAACTACGAATCTTCCCGAGTGGTGATTCAAAACCCTGTTGAAAAAACTTTTAAAAAGGTGTTATAATCAATTCAGTGATCTATAAAAATCCGGATGATTTTCGATTAGGACTATACTTATTTTGTTGAGAGTTTTAATAACACTTTAAATATATATGAGGATAAAAGGATTGCTTTTGGAAGTGAACATATAAAGTGCGAGCATTCCTTGGTACGTGTCACTGGAATGAAAATGTGGGAAGACATTACTTCTATCACTTACACACGTAATCCTAAAACCCCACGTAAGCAACTTGGGAAAAAGAACTATAAAAAAAAAAAATTTTCATTCAGGAAAAACATTTGGTGGCGTTACATAAAACATGTCTTTTCTAAACGTAGAAATAATTAAAATATCTATTATATTTGCACAATCTTTGTTGTCTTATTTTAAGCACGTGTAAGTAGCAAGCTGCTATCTATTAAAGCATAACTCTGCAGTCTTATCAGATGGGAGGTGTGGCCACTCCCAAATATGCTTAATTGCTGTCCGTGTGGATATTTATCTAGGTCAGATCCGGCCTTTAAGAAAGCTAAATAATGTTAACCATTTGTTAACGTCAATATCTCACCGAGTTCTGCCCAAAATTTCAGACTGGTCGAAGTTCACATTAATCATGTTAATTTAAGATGAAAACATAAATTAACATTATTTAGATACCATGGGTTAAATTCTCCCCCATTCATGTATTAAAATAGTTATGTATTTGATATGGGAGGAGGTGAGTGTAAAGGAAAAACCACACTCGTTTATTGTCGAAACAAAATCAGGTTTATCAGACAAGTGCGCTAATGATTTATGGGTTGGCCCTTTCCCTGCACATCTGTAAATTCCGTATTTTAGTTTCAGTTTTCTACTTTAAAAACGAAATTAATATGTAAAGAAAAAGAAATTCTTAAATGAAGAAAAACAAAAATTTTTTTTCATAAATTCGTTTTCCTTTATCTAATAATTTCGTTTTTTATATATATATAAATTTCTTTTTTCTTTATTTAATAATTTCGTTTTTCTTTATATATTGATTTTGTTTCTCTTTATTTATTGATTTCGCTTTTCTTTATTTAATACTTTCGTATTTCTTTATTTGATAATTTCGTTTTTCTTTTTATAATAATTTCATTTTTTTAATTTAATAATTTAGGTTTTCTGTATTTTATTTATTTCGTTTTTCTTTAGTTATTTTTGGTTTGCACTATTTGGCTTCCGTATTGTTCTGGTACTGGTAGGAGACAGATTTCTTTCTTTAATAGTGTTCTTAAAAATTTCCAATTCAAAATGTAACTAAGTATGTAAATATATAGTGTTTAGTAGTTTAGTAGTAGTGCTAGTTGTTTTTGTTTCTCTTTTTCCTTTGTTCTTATGACTTTTTAAACTTTTTTCTTTGTCCTGAGGAAGGGACAGTGCTTTATATAAATAAATAAATAAATATATATATATATATATATATATATATATATATATATATATATATATATATATATATATATATATATATATATATATATATATATCAGCGATATGTTACATAACCTGTTTTTCTTCCTAGTGTGGAAATCCAGTTTTTGGTCAGACAACTTGTCCCGAATGTGGTGCAAAGATTGGAGGGAAGCCTACAACGAATTGGAAGAAGGCAATGTAAAAATTGATGTACAAGAGTAAGTATATTTATTTTAAAAAAAAATAAAAATTCTATTCAAAAGGTTAAATTTGTTAAAAGATGCCTTTTATCAAGCAAATATCGCACATGTATTTGTTATTTGATTCGTGCGAACTGCAAAGCTTAAATGGATTTCTTTGCAATCCAAATACATCTAATTTGGCCTATTTTTTTTCAAAAACAAACTTTTAATATATTACTCTTCGATTAATCGTTGCACTGATAATTATGTATCTCAATGTAGTCTTTTTGCATGATGAATTGTATAATATTCAGACTAAAACTGTATTTGTGGTAGCTTTTTGAAAGTATTTCACAGAAATTACTATTTTTGGTACAGTAACCATGGCAACACCATTCATTGAAATCAAACAACGGTATACAGAATTATGTATCTTTGTGTTTGTGTGCCAAGTTATATTGATTTTAAACTAAAACTCTAAGAGGAGTAGCATTTTAAATGTATTTTAAAGAAATTTTACTCATATGGAGACGCAATTTAAACCAGAACTCTCTGTCGAGACTTTAGCTCTACTGGTTTGTACTTATAACAAAAGATGTGAAAAGAAGCCATTGCCATCAGACCAAAACTGAAGAAGTAGCGTTTTAAAGGAATTTCACAAACATTTCTGTTTTTAGTAACCATGGCAAGATCGTTCATCGAAATCAAAACCCGATAAATAGAATTATATATCTTAGTGTAGTCTATTTGTGTGCCAAGTTATATTGAAATAAAACCAAAACTGTAGGAAGAGTAACAATTTGAAAGAATTTCACAGAAATTTCTATTTTTTAGTGACCACAGCAACATCGTTCATCGAAATCAAAACCCGATACACAGAATTATATATCTTAGTGTTGTCTACTTGTGTGCCAAGTTATATTGTAATCAGACCAGAATTGTAGGAGGAGGAGAATTTTGAAAAAAATTGTTTACAGACGGACAGGCAGACAGACAGACGGACGGACGACGGACGCATTATTATCGCAAAGTTCTTCTGGTCTGACAGAGAGCTAAAAATTCGCTATCAACGTACAAGCAACAATAAGGTTATAATCATTCATTCATCATTCAAGCTTTTCCTCTCGATAATTTACCAACTCAATTTTCAGATTTGACGAACAATATATGGGACATATTTTTGGACGAGCTGAATCAAGAGAAGATGTACCTACAGCTCAGCGTGAGCTATCGTCTGTGAACTGTTCTATTCTTCGATTTATTTTGCATTCATCTCTCTACATAGCATCAAGTCATACTCCAGAGGTAAAAAAAATATGGACATCAAGAAGATGCTTGAGTTTCTGATTGACAATATCTATGTGGTTTTTGGAGACCAGGTATTCCAACAATCTATTGGAATTCCCATGGGTACAAATTGCGCTCCGTTATTAGCTTATTTTTATATTCATATGAAGCAGAATTTATGCAAAATCTTATGCGTGAAAAAGAAGAAAACACTTGCTGTGGCCTTCAACTCGACATTTAGATATATCGACGACGTATTGTCAATTAATAATGATAATTTCCATTCCTACGTCGATACGATATATCCTGGTGAACTTGAGATAAAAGATACCCCAGAATCCGACACTTCTGCTTCATACTTGGATATTTTACTTGAAAAAGACACTAATGGTAATCTAACAACCAAGCTATGTGATAAACGTGATGACTTTAACTTTTCTATCGTCAACTTCCCTTACTTATGCAGCAATATACCTTCATCACCTGCATACGGAGTATATATATCTCAGTTGATTCGATACGCAAGAGCGTGCTCTACGTATGAACAATTTCCTAAACGAGGTATATTATTGACAAGCAAGTTGATGAAACAAGAATATCAACAGTCTCGTTTAAAGTCATCATTTCGTAAATTCTATGGTCGATACAATGACCTTGTCAGCAAATACAATTTATCATTGAGTCAAATGCTGACTGACGTTTTTCATACCAATTGTTAGTCCATTATTTATACACTGAATCTGACGACGGATTTTTTCCGTTATTTCCTGATCATGGCAACGAGCACACGGCGGGTGTGACCGGTCGGCAGGGGATGCTCACTCCTCCATGGCACCTGATCCCACCTCTGATGTTTCGGAGGTCCGTGTTGCTCTGCTCTTATTTTGTATATTGTTTAATGGACGTTGAGATTGAATACTGTTCGTTATCTCCATATCCTTCATGGAAAAGTATTTTCATATTTAAGTTGTATCCAAAATATTTCTAAACTGATAATTGCAAGATTATTGATTGTTTTAATTATATAATATACCATTTACTTAGAAAGTTTCCAGCAAGAATTATGTTTTCTAAAAATTTTACCAGTAAAGGCCAGACGATACGTACCTAAATAAAACATAATTTTTTCTTGCAATTGAATTATTGAGGCACCTCATCAGTTATTTGTATAATAAAACATATGGAGATCAAAATCAGTATTCAAGATCAAAAATTCATAATACAAAAAAGGAGCAGAGCTAACACGGACTTCCAAACCATTAGCGATGGGACCTGGTGCCAGGAAGGAGGGCACATCCCCTGCCGACCGGTCACACCCGCCGTGTGCTCATGGTCATGATCGGTAATCACTAACAAATCCGTCGTAAATTCAGTGTATAAGATATTCGATGATGGTGAATCTATTTGTATATAATCCTTTTGGAAAGAACTTTTAAAAATTATCAATAAAAAAAAAACCGAATAATACATGTGCATCTTTTACAAAGACAATTAGAAACAGGTTTAGAAATCAAAATGTTATTACATGTACGATTTTAAATATTTTGTATACATATGAAAGATTTACAAAACAGATGTCCGAGAAATAAACCTTAAGATTACAAGGTGCAATACACATGAAAATCAACACATTTTATATTTTTAAAAACCACAGGAATTAAGTTTCCAATAGTATCACAAATTGAAAGCATATTTTTCTTGTATATTGAATTATCAGGTGTATAGACATTCAGAGAGTATACATAGGGTAAAAGCGATTTAAAACCGTATTGACGAGACAGCATGACACATATCATTAAAACAGATTTCATAAAACTTTCCGATAGAATTAATAATTCTTTACTTCTCATAAATATGTAAACCTTCAAAACATTATACGTTTCTTAAGTAAATAATTTTGATTATTTGAAAAAAAAAATTATCCATGGACCATATATACACATTTTGTAACGTTTTAAGGGTACCATGTTACATGCTATTCAAACATAAAACTTATTCTAAACAAAACAAAATGGTTAAAAAATATAGCATGGTTGGCTTTCTATCTTGTAAAAATCATAAGGAAGAAAAAATAGGACACCCCTAAATAAAAATAGACCGTGAATATGCACATTTTCATACCAAATTTCTCTTTGGACCCCAATAAACGAAATGTCAACATGTTTCCTTACAATTTTTTAAAAATTTTCTGAATCAGATTAAGAGGTAAAAGCATAATAATATGTCGGAAAAGTAATTTTGTTTTTATTTTAAATTGCCTTTAACTCAAACCAACATTTATAAACTGAATTTTTCTTTGAAATTTATAGGAAAAGTTCATACGCACAGCAGCACTGTAAAATTAAAGCAAAAAAATATTATAAATTTTCAGGCTGTTAATGCTATCATTAAACCAAGGATAGAAGTAACTGCCGTTCTTCCCTTTATAATGGACCACATCAAAAAAGACTTGACGAAAATAAAAAGCTACTGGAAGTAGCGAAGATGATGTGTACCTTCTGTTGCACAGAATATGTACAAGTTTTACAGAAAAGCATGAAAGTTTGTATACAGATGCAATTCGTATTCGAAATTTTTCTTTAAAAAAAATGGCTGAAAAGCAATTACGTTCATTTTTTAAAATTTTGCTTTTCAAAGTATTGCATGTACTACACCTGATAAAAGTATGACCCTTTTATTTCAAAAGGAAAAAGCCAACATTTACAGGGGTTTTTTAAAGTGCTTGGAAAACAAAAAGGACAGAAGTTGCTGGGAAGGAGAATTTGCTGATGAATTTTTCTCTCCTATTTTGAAGGTAAATTTAATTAAACCGTCAAAAGTTTCATTACAAGTAAGTTTCAAAGTTTTACGCATTTCACATATCATATTTCACAAAGGAACTATTTTTAAAACCCAGGATTAAAACAATCTATGATTAATTTGAAATTATAAGCAATCTAAACCACATCCTAAGAACAGAACATTTCAAAGAAATTTCTATCATTATGGTAATTTTGTGTATTAATTTCTTTAAATATTTTTTAAAAATTGATTGATTGTACATTATTAACGTGAATTTTTCACTAATATTGAGACGCCGCCACTTGCCAGTAAAGAGCTGCAAATAATGTCTTATACTCGACACTTAGTGCCATTGGGGAAAAAGGGGGATTTTTTTCGTGCCAGTACCTACTGCGACACGGGACCTTGGTTTATACGGTCTCATACGAAGGACAGGTCTTCACGTCCCACAGTGGGATTAGAACCTGGGACGAAAGGATCAACTCCTTACTTTGCGACTCTGGGGCAGACGCTCTTACAACTGCGCCACGGGGGGAACTCATTTCTAAAAAATACATATGCAAATACATAGATTACCTTCCTTTTTCACATCCAAAAAAGAGATCAATTCACTTCAAGAAAACGGCTTGCTTCCAAGTATATACATGTACTTTTGAGTCATTGGTTCTTATTTTTATTAAATACCAAGGATTGATATTCACTGAAGTAGGCAAACAAAATGTGGTAATATACGATTTTGAAGTTTCGTACAATATATAAAAGTTCTCATTTTTTTTTTTGTGACATAACATTAATGCCTCATGTTATTTTATCTATTTATATGACAATAGGCCACTGAATGGCGTGATTTAAGTTACTGTAAAATCACATATTTTCAAGGGGTCAAATTTTCGTGATTTGAGGAAAATGTATTGCCTCATGGGGATTTGATTTCGTAGTTGAAGAAATGTTCAGAAGTATGCCGGTGGTCATAAATTTTGGGGTCTTTATACCATGAGAACAACGACAATTGAACCCCCATGAAAATTATGAATTTCACAGTATGTGTTGCACTTTCAACAAGGCATGTTACAAATTGGGTGTTTCCTAAGGAGTGACAAATGCAAAATCGTTTGCTCGATTCGCTTATTTTGACATTTATTGTTTCTTGTATTAAACCAATATGTATACTGAAAGGAAAATGAAACGCATAATAATCTTTAGAATAAAATTAAAACTTTTATTTCCAATATGTTTCCAGTATTGTTATCAAACATTTTAATTCAACTTTAAAAACAAGTAACCGAGATCTTGTGTGACTTTGACTAAAATTCCCTGAATTGAAATTGATATGTCGATTCCCCCAAAATTAAAATAAAAATTCCACATTCCCTTGCGCATCATACTAGTAACAGCCTTGATTTTCTTGTGCATTGAGTTCACCAGAGCATTTATCTTTCTCAAGGATTATCATTAAATCCTTCCGACGATAGTCTTAATGGTTGAGAGTGGCTGTATTTTTCCCAAAGCTAACAAATCCCCCGCCCAATGAATCCCACAATTTTCGATTTAGGATGATAGAATGTACAGAATCTAGCTGATTTGGTACACGTAAATTTTTGAAAGGATGTATCGACAAATACTGGCTACATTTTTTCAGCGTGAACATGCTAAAAACAATACCATACGGCGGTACGTGCGCGTGTGAGAGTAAAATAGACGTAAAGTTGCCAAGCTTGCGTACCAAATTAGAGCAGAGAGTTTCTGTCAGTATTAGGGTGAAAATATGAGTAGGATTGCCTGCATTAAAAATATCGGTTTCAGTGATAATGACCTGACAATAACCGAGGTAGCATATAAAAACCTCTTATGTGACGTTGTTACGCGCCAACGTCACCCTCATGGTTGGTTGGGAACTTTTTAAATTACTCTTAACAACCGAAAAAACTTTTTTTTAAGTTGAAAAGTTAAACAAACTGCACAGCAACACGTCGCTGCCTTTTTATTCACCTATGCAACTCAATTACTAGACTTTATGTAACTTCGTCACCCATAGCATGATTGCAAGAAATTTATACTGACTGTAAATATCGGAAAACGATGTCTAAAACCAATGATCTCTTGGCAAACAAAATGTTATCACAAAATTGTCAGCATCAACATGCACGTGTATTTGGCTTTTTATCACTTCCCCGCGTGACACCATACATTTCATGTTTGAGTAATTTTGTACATCTATTTTAGTGCACATTAACAAAATACACATCTGACCAATTTACATAATTTTCGGTCACAAAGTTAAATATTTTTCGCTATTATGCTATTATGCGTTTCTTTTTCATTTCATTATATAAACTTTATAAACATATCTAATTCCTTCTTCATTCATCTAAAGGATTTAGAGTCAGAATTGAAGACCCTGGGAAAAGAGCTTGTAGAAGACAAACGATTAGGTAATTCTGCAAAAGTTGGTTTATCAGATGACTTTAGAAAAGCATATAGATACATTTTCTTTGTTTCGTTTAAAAATTTTAAAGAGAGGACAATTAATAAACAACTTCTTCAATTATTTACAGGAGCCGATCCTTTACTTAGTCTTCTTTACGAAACTGAAACAGCCAATGAAGATATCTCGGTACACGAACTACAAAATCATCCAGCTGTTTGGAGATATAGATCACAGATATCTATGGACCATTTGTCCAAAACGTTTATGATGCAAATCCCAGCAAATGAACATGCTGTACTACGAGCATTTTTGGAAGAGGTATGAGTTTCATCAGTAACAAGTGCATTTACTGCATATTCAAACTCAAGGTCATAGATCACAGATATCTATGGACCATTTGTCCAAAACGTTTATGATGCAAAACCCAGCAAATGAACATGCTGTACTACAGCAATTTTGGAAGAAGTATGAGTTTCATCAGTAACAAGTGCATTTACCGCATATTCAAACTCAAGGTCAAGGTTTTAGAGGCAGAGTCTACAAGGGCCCTATCATTTATGTGACTGATTTCAATTTCACTTGAGTCCTTACAACCACGTATCGACCTACACTTAAGTTCACAATAAGTTTAACTGTCCTAACTGAATTTATTCGACTGTCATTATTTCACAATATTTACCTTTGCAAATGTTTGCCTTTATATAACACTACTGAAAGCAATGCGTATCTATAACTGTATAAATACAGGTACGGGGTCATAGATGTGCATATGGATAAACGTTAGACGTAATTTCTCAGTGACGTAAAGGGTCGACGCGCAGTCAGTTGATTACATAGATGCCGTTGGGTTTGAAAAATAATGCATTTCACTCGTTAATAGTCACAATCAGGCAAATTTAAAGTATGAATAAGTCATCAATGTAAATATAAGTTATAAGGTATCATTTTAAAACATCTATCGGGCTATAAATACGGGCTGATACGAGATAAAATTCATCATAAAGCCCTGGAATTTAATCTCATGACCAACCCGTATTTATATCCCGATAGATGTTTTAAAATGATACCTTATTTCTTAAATGGTAAAACATGTTTCTCATATTATAACGTCCTGTTCTACGTAAATTTGATGCAGCAAAACTGTGTGTCATGCGAGATCAGAAAGAGTGGAAGCTGTTTTGTGTCAGTATAACAGAAGGAAGAATATCACATGACATCCATTCATATAATAAAAATTACGAAAATATTCTTCTTATATTATATTTGGTATTATACAGATAGATTAAAGAATTACATTTGTCATCTTCTGATAAATACTTCAATTCTGATGTGAATATTCCAGGTTATGTGAAATGATATTATACACGCACAATTATTAGATCATAAAAATCATAAGACATTGGATCGACAGTGTCTAATATCATTTACGTCTATTTTAAATTGATAATGTAAAGACAAAACTTGTCACTTTGGCCTTCTATTGATATGTGAAAGTTTTAAAGTCAGTTCTTAAAATGTTTTTTTTAACTTTAAAGACTTAATTTGTTTCAGGAACACAATGTTCGAGTAATTCGTCTGATACCAAGCATCTTGAAGCTTCAGAAAGTTCTGATACACAAATTTGCCAGGAAACTAGACAGAAGTGAGGCGTCTGATTTATCGATGCAATTTGTGATTGACTCTTACAGGGGTAATTCTTTTTATGAAGAGTGTTTATACAAAATTTGAATTTGTATGCATGATTGATAAATAATGTATATATTATAGTGTGAAGTCAAAATCTGCATGAGATGAAGAGGGGCAAATCTGTATCAGTCAGTGTGATCGAATACATGACTATTATTTAATTATGTATCTACATGTAAATCAATCTGGTCAAATACTTAACAAAGTGAAATGCATCTTTAGATATAATAGAGATATGTGTTTGATCTTCATTACTTAAGATCCCAGACAATAAGGTTCAACTTTTTTTTCTTTTCGTCTCCATAGATATACTTGTTTGTTGATTATTTTTTTTTAATAAATGCAGTCAGATCCACTACTCAGATGCTAAATCGGACATTGGTTTTGGACCTTATTAACACGTTTTTCTGTTGTCGTTCATGTAAGTCCCATCCAAAAAGGTCTTATCTTGTAAATGAAATTAGAAAAGAATAACCTGTTATCGAGCTCAAATGTTCACGAAAACTATATAAATTTTGAGCAAAGCTAAATATTTTAAATGTAAGATAAGGAGCCACTAAAAAACATGTATTCTTTATTTACCACTCGTACTGCAGATATCCTAGTTTTATCAACTCGTTTGTAAATAGCCTGCCACATTTTTAAAATTGTTCGTAGGTAGAACATGGTCTTGCGTATCGATTCAAATTGGAGATTATAGTGCCTTATGATTAAAGAATCGTTATGATAAAAATGTTTAAGTGCTTAGACTGATGCATCATTTAAATGTTTTTTATGTCTGATATTCATTTACAATCAATTTATAAGACATAAATTATACATTAAAAGTAATGCATATTCCTTATCTACACTTAAGTGCAATATTTGAAATATCTCATATCCGAAGCATACTCATGGGAGGCTCTCTAAGTTCATTAAGACCAAATTTATGATTTAGAAAACGATGTTTCCGAAGAAGACGAAGAAGTCATAGGAGAAACGGAGTCAAAGTGGATGGAGATCGATCAGTTGGTTTCAGATTTTATTGAAGCTTGGCGTTGTATTAGAGGACAGCTAGGAAAATTTCGTACGTTCTTTTAATAATAATTATGTAGAAAATTCTTTTAAAAATCTATCATAGAATATTTTAGATAATATTTAAGATATTATAAATAAGAAACTGATCATCGTTTTCTTAAAATCTAAAATGATTAATAATAATGTTCAAAAAAAAAATGAAATAATAGCAAAAAATAAGTAAATTTATACTGATAATAAACATAAAAAAGTTTATTGAAAGTATCAGCTAAGAATATAGCGAAACAAATGTCTATAATTCAAACACATTTTATCAATATTCATTGCAGGCTTTCAGACCTTGAAAGGGAACAGACAAATTTCAGAGAAATACTATGGAAAGGATTTAGTCAAAGAAGACCCAGTGTCTCTCTTCTTGCCTACTTTTAGAGAGCATGGACTGTGTTCCTATGGATTATTGTACTTTCTGTTGAAAAAACAAAACTCGTTTTTGGAAGAATACTGCAGAAAAAAAGATATAGAGTAAGTAACAGTGAAACAATTAAGTTGTTTAACGCATAAAAACGATCAGATATGAATACTGTTGTTTTTCAAATTCTTTTTTTAGCTGAAAATATACAATTACTTATCAAGTATTTGATGCGCCTTCTTCACTCGAAAATAATTTATATTTGATTTTTCAGGAAAGAAACATTTACTTACAGTTTTCAAATAACGATAACCATTTTCAATAATGTTTGTTAGCCCTCTTCCGACACAGGGTAAAATTAATGAATCGGTAGGTGGGTGTGAATTTTCCCCCCAAAAGCTTTAATATATTTATTTACGGTTTAAGAGGAGTAGAAAGGGAAAACAAATCATGTTCTGGGATGTAGAAAAAATGTTAGTCGAGTCAATTTCATTCAGTCAGTCAAAACAGGGCAACCAAATATTTTAAAAACTAGTATTAATGGCAATATGTCCACATAATATTAATTAAATACAAAGAACAGTTCATTCGTAATTGATTTATTATTTTGATACCGGAACGAAATAATAAATTATCTGTAGTTTAAGCTCTTGAAAAGGGGGGGTGGGGGAGGTAGACTTTCAAGCATCACCATATTCTGAAAAAAATCTTGGGCATTATTAATGTCCCTTACATCTTTTCTTATGTTTTACTCAAAAAACAATATAATGAATTAATAAAACACAATGTTTAAGTTGTAAATTGTTCTGAAATTGGTGAAAAAAAACTAATAATTAATTTTTGTCGGTTTTGTTGGCTATAAACATACCCCCCCCCCCCCCCGTGAAACAAAACTGTTCTGGTATACATTTGTGAAATGAGAGTCCATATTACCCTGAAAAATTATTTTTTTTGTTCTCGTTTCATACGGGGATTGATATTTTCATAATTAGCGTTTTTCATTGATTTCCGAAGTGAAAGAGTTATGCTAAAGTTACAGAGTTATCTCTCTTTGTTTTCCCAAATAAGTTTTATGCCATATGACAAACTGTTATTTATGCCTCCTATGAGAAATATCAGCCTGATAGTGCAGTGAAAAACAACCAAACACAGATATGCAGTTTTGTCGAATATGTCATTTAATTCAATGACATAAAGTAAAATGTATAACAAATCATTAAGGGGGATCACCTAATATGAAACAATACAGTGTACATGTACATAGGGGAAAGGTACAAGTGTGATCCCCATGAGACTGACTAGAAATTTACATGCAGTGAACATATCAGAGTACATGTAAATATGCATAAAATATAACATAAATGAGTAAATCCTTGGAGTTTGTTTTTTCAACACACCACCAGATTAACAAAATGGCGCAACAAAATCAAGGATTTTGATTGGGTTTCTCTGTCACGAAAAGCAAAGGTTGCGATTTCGCAATGAAAGGTTATATGATAATTGCGCTGCGATAAAGGTGCATATATTGCAGACTGCGCAAGGATATGCAGAATTATCCTAAGGTGTAAAATATAATATATTTCTCATGGCGGCATAAATTGAATTATCTGTGATAATATTGTTTTGTTTTATGAAAATCCATATAATATCTATTAAAAAAATCTTAAAAATCAATATGTTAAACAACATACATTCATTTAATCAATCAATCAATCGAATATGTGAACATTAAAAAATTGACTTGGAGGTGGGCGTGTGAGTAATACTGAGTATCGTTCGCAGTTTTTTATCATTGTGTTGCTTATTAAAAAATGCCAATGTTATATACCGAGGTACATGTATACCTTGTCTTTTCTTCTCAGAATATTTATTGATAAGAAGGAGCTTTGCAGATTCAATAACCTCCGAAAAAAGCTTCGATTTCCTTGAGAAATCGATCATTTGAATGAAATTATCATCTTCGAAAACAATTGCATCAAAACGTCTCTATTTATCAAAAGTAGATGTAAAATATACATGGGTTGATCCAAAAGTTCGTGGAATTTCTTTCTAAAATTTTATCTTGATTTGATGAAATTAAGCAACAGGCATATTCATAAAATAGAGTCATAATGCAACAATATTGGAAAATTTCGCCACTTTCAAATTACCAATAAGGTCACACGAGCTTTCTGAAAATGGATAGTTGGGAAACCCGGGGGAGACTTCAACGTAACGTCAAGTTAGATATGTCACGTCACGTTATAGAAGATCTCGCCCAAATGTCCAATTATAATACGTAATTCTACAAAATGCTGCCCATTTCTCCATTTTTTTTTCTCAAGAAAAGCCTGGGCATCCTCTTGCACCAACTTATCTTCATTTTTTACTCATATTTCAAAAAAAGCTACCCATCTGTCCATATGATGTTCCAACTTCAGTAGCAATGTCAAGAACAGTGCCACAGCCAACAACGTCCATTAACGCTTTTAATTTGTCTAGGGAGATACGTACGTAAACAGAGACTCTAAAAAGCGACCACCTACTTTATCAATGTCCATGGAAGTTCTATTTTTCTTAAACTTCTTATGCCACTGGAAAACCAGTAACTAGATGCATTTTTCCCAAGCCTATGTCAATGATACACGCGTTTAAGATAGAGTGCTACCGGGATTTTCATAAAACGTGTGACTTGACCGAAATTTTACGTTATCTTAAAACTTAGAGATGAACAATAAACCATCAACTTATAAACTAACTAGTGCTAATTGTAACGGGAACCGTTACAGATGTTCCCCAAACGCTCCCCAACTCCCTTCTCGTGCCATATTCCCTGGAAGTTTCATTAAAGAAGGCAAAATCTATGCATTTAAGACGGCAACAACGTTTTCCCAAAAGTATACCAAGTATTTCAAATTTAAGCAATGCAGGCGTGCGCATGTGATTGCATGAGCGTAATGACGATATCATCTTGTCTACACTATTTTACTCATATGCACGTGCACGCACGTGCATGATGACCATACCTTCTTGTAGGAGTCCATTATGTCTGTCTATGTTCATTATCCCATCCTATTTGGTTGAAAAACAAGGGAGTTATAGCCATTTAAAGTTTAAGCCAATCAGATTGCAGCGCACGTGCATGCGCATGTTTCCATGACAATTATTTTATATCATATTGTAGAACATCTTAAAGTATGCCTATGTTTTAAATTTCAAAGCATTTTGTAAAAAAACAGAAAAGATATTGAGATTTTTGTTTCAGCCAATCAGAGCAAAGCACACGTGCACGCACGTGCATGCATGTGAATGGTGACCATACCATCTTGTAGGAGTCCTTTATGTCTATCTATGTTCTAAATCCCATGCTGTTTGGTTGAAAAGCAAGGGAGTTATAGTCATTTAAAGTTTCAACCAATCAGATTGCAGCGCACGTGCATGCGCGTGATTTCATGAAAAATTTTATATATCATATTGTAGTACATCCTAATACATGTCTATGATATAAGTTTCAAAGCATTTCATCATAAAACAAAAAAGATATTAAGATTTCTGTTTCAGCCAATCAGAGCAAAGCGCACGTGCATGCGCGTGAGTTCATGCAAATTTGACCATGTCATCTTATGTACACAACTTATATATTTTTATATAATGAGTTTCAAAACATTTAATCAAAAAATATAAAAGTTACAACCATATTAAATATATCAGTCAGTTTACTCATTGCACGCGCCCGCACGTGCATGCGAATGCGCGCAAAATGACCTTCGTTCGGCACATCTACACAACATGCCTACTAACCCTAAAAAGGTTTTAACTTAGTTTGGTGAACAGTTTCTGAGAACACTTCCGGACAAAAAAGTACCGGAGAAGAAATAAGAAGAAAAAAGAATAATAATAATAATAATAATAATAATAATAATAAGAAACAGAGTAAAAACAATATGTTCCCCAACTTCGATTGGGGAACATAATAATAAGAAACAGAGTAAAAACAATATGTTCCCAAACTTCGTTTGGGGAACATAATAAGGCAGCAAAATTCAAATTCTCATTTCTCTACTAAGATTTTTACATCGGGCTCGGAGTTGGTTTTCTTCAGAAAGACAGGACTGGGTTCAAGGCGACTAGGGGTACCACACCGGTAATTGACCAATCAAAATGAACTTAGTCAATTGTAGGTCCATACATTAAGCCGATTTTCCTTTCTTTTTAGAGTTTTTTTAATTTCCTTCCAGGCCAGTTTGACAACTCTGGTACCTGTGCCTAGGAAATTTTATCTACTCTATAAATAAATAAAGTTTTTTGACAGGAACTATTTCTCCAGGGCATAGGAGGCTACTTCCTGGGGTGCTTTTGTGATGTTTATAAAGACATGGAAAACACGTGGATTTGAGGGTAGCCCTGTTTGCATATGCAAATAAATCAGAAAATGTCGTGTACGTACCCTGGTTTTTTGGTGTCAGCTAATGTGACAGGTATTGTTTAACACCCCCTTATCAATATTTTTTCATGAATTCAAACACGTGAGGTTTTACTGGAAAGAAACGTGTATTGCTTTTTAATATACCGAAACTCGCTATTTCTGGGGATTGTGTAATTCTAAAAAAAATTCAGATAAATTTCAATGGTGAAATAAAAGAAGAATGCTTGGTATTAAAATATTAATTCATATCAGTAGAATTGAATGCTATCAACGACATCTGGAGAAATAGGCTTTAAAAGGTTTATATCATATCTTGTTCGTCTGCACTTAAATTTCAAACACGACAGAATTTGTAATTTTTGCCGTAAAAATTCATAATTTCTATATACTTTAGAGACTTACCGTAAAACTTTCAGGAAACTTTCTATGAAGTCTTTTCTGCACCTTAAGTGAAATTTTATGTCGATCCCAGGTGTTGATCGAGTTTCAGAGAAATTTTCTACGTTGTTATTGATTTTTTTTTTTTTTTTTAAGGAGAAGGGGGGGGGGTTTGACTTTTTTATTCTAAGCATTTGTTAAAGTGAGTTTGTAAATACATCTACGAACTTGAGCTGGATTGTGACCTTTGGGTCAAGGGGTCAAAGGTCAAGGTCAAAGGTCAAGGTCATCAAAGCATTTCATAAAGAAATATAAAAGTAACGGCCATATCAAGTATACAAGTCATTTGATCATTGCACGCGCGCGAAGGTGCAATGCATGAAAGCTATATCATCGTGACTACACTTTTAATGTGTTTCTATTCTTTGAATTTTGAAACGTTTCATAAAAAAAATTACGACTATATCAAGTAAATCGGTCATTTAACGCATTGCGCGCGCACACGTGCATGCAAGTCCTTGCATTCAAGTTTGATAGTAGCATAATGTAAGAATCCGTCATTATATCTATTCATATTCTAAATTTCATCCTGTTTTGTTGAGAATCAAAAAAGTTATAGGCATTTAAAGTTTAAGCCAATCAGATCGCAGCACACGTGCATGGGCGTGGTTTCTTGAAAACTTTTATATATCATAGTTTAGGACGTATTAAGGTATGATTATGTTTTAAAATTCAAAGTATTTTGTCAAAAAACAAGTAAGATATTGAGATTTTTGTTTCAGCTAATCAGAGCAAAGCGCACGTGCATGCGCGTGCATGCATGTGCATGATGACCGTAACTTCTTATAGGAGTCTATTGTGTCTGTCTATGTTCTAAATCTTATCGTGGTTGGTTGAAAAACAAGGGAGTTACAGCCATTTGAAGTTTAAGCCAATCAGATTGCAGCGCACGTGCATGCGCATGCTTTCATGACAAATGTTATACATCATGTTGTAGGACATCTTAAAGTATGCTTATATTTTAAATTTCATACCATTTCGTCAAACAACGGAAAAGATATTGAGATTTTTGTTTCAGCCAATCAGAGCGAAGCGCACGTAAATGCGCGTGAGTTCTTGCTAATTTGACAGTGTCACATTATCTACACTATTAATATATCCTTATATAATGAGTTTCAAAGCATTTCATCGGAAAATGTTAAAGTTATGGCTATATTAAATATATTAGTCATTTCAGTCATTTCACGCGCCCGCACGTGCAGGCGTATGCGCGCAAAATGACCTTCGTTCCGCACACCTACACAACACACCTATTAACCCTAAAAAGGTTTTAGCTCAGTTGGGTGAACAGTTTCTGAGAACACTCGCGGACAAAAAAGTACCGGAGAAGAAATAAGAAGAAAAAAGAATAATAATAATAATAATAACTAGATACGATCTCGTTGTGAACAACGAGTGGGTCTTCCGTTCGATTCTTGTTGAGATGAGATAAGATTTGGAATGAGATTTTCACTCTAAAGTAATGATTTTCCATAATCTGTAAAAAGACATTGAACAATAAAGACTCATAAAATCGACTTTTGGCCCCTCACGGCCCCTAATATTAGGGATCAGTCCTTTTTTCTTCAAAACATTTTAAAGCTCTTAGGATTATGAACACTTTCTGTTCAACACCTATTCAGAGATTCTTTTTCGTTTTCGAGTTATTCGCAAAAGAAATATTTAGGGGCCAACCCTTCAACTCCCTAATGGGGACGTTTAGCGAAAAATGAAAGGTTGCATATTGTTCAGAACATGATTTTGAACATCTATTGTTCAATATTACTTATCAAAATATTTTTCATTCTCGAGATATAAAGCGTCAAAGATTTAGCGTTCTGGCCCCTTGTGGCCCTAATTAGGTACATGTACCATATAACCTGAAAATCATAATGTATAGCTGTAGATGGCTGAGATAAATTTTTTTGCTTCAGTAATGTATTACAAAATATAAACTGCTAAAGAGTTATCGATTGAAGACTTTTGGCCCCTCTTGGCCCCTAATTTGAGTGCCCAGCCCCTTTTTCTTGATTTCATCTTGAAGGTTTTAAGATTTTGAACACTTTTTGTTCAACAACTATTCAGAGATTCTTTTTCGTTTTCGATTAATTTGCAAAAAGAAATATTTAGGGGCCAATCCTTCAACTCCCTAATGGGGACGTTTAGCGAAAAATGAAAGGTTGCATATTGTTCAGAACATGATTTTGAACATCTTTTGTTCAATATTACTTATCAAAATATTTCTCATTCTCGAGATATAAAGCGTCAAAGATTTAGCGTTCTGGCCCCTTGTGACCCCTAATTAGGTACCATACAACCTGAAAATCATAATGTATAGTTGTATATGGCTGAGATAAACATTTTTGCTTCAGTAATGTATTACAAAATATAAACTGCTAAAGAGTTATCGATTGAAGACTTTTGGCCCCTCTTGGCCCCTAATTTGAGTGCCCAGCCCCTTTTTCTTGATTTCATCTTGAAGGTTTTAAGATTTTGAACACTTTTTGTTCAACAACTATTCAGAGATTCTTTTTCGTTTTCGAGTTATTTGCAAAAGAAATATTTAGGGGCCAACCCTTCAACTCCCTAATGGGAACGTTTAGCGAAAAAATGAAAGGTTGAATATTGTTCAGAACATGATTTTGAACATCTTTTGTTCAATATTACTTATCAAAATATTTCTCATTCTCGAGATATAAAGCGTCAAAGATTTAGCGTTCTGGCCCCTTGTGGCCCCTAATTAGGTACCATACGACCTGAAAATCATAATGTATAGTTGTAGATAGCTGAGATAAACATCTTTGCTTCAGTAATGTATTACAAAATATTAACTGCTAAAGAGTTATCGATTGAAGACTTTTGGCCCCTCTTGGTCCCTAATTTGAGTGCCCAGCCCCTTTTTCCTGATTTCATCTTGAAGGTTTTAGGATTTTGAACACTTTTTGTTCAACAACTATTCAGAGATTCTTTTTCGTTTTCGAGTTATTTGCAAAAGAAATATTTAGGGGCCAACCCTTCAACTCCCTAATGGGGATGTTAAGCGAAAAATGAAAGGTTGAATATTGTTTAGAACATGATTTTGACATCTTTTGTTCAATATTACTTATCAAAATATTTCTCATTCTCGAGATATAAAGCGTCAAAGATTTAGCGTTCTGGCCCCTTGTGGCCCCTAATTAGGTACCATACGACCTGAAAATCATAATGTATAGTTGTAGATAGCTGAGATAAACATCTTTGCTTCAGTAATGTATTACAAAATATTAACTGCTAAAGAGTTATCGATTGAAGACTTTTGGCCCCTCTTGGCCCCTAATTTGAGTGCCCAGCCCCTTTTTCTTGATTTCATCTTGAAGGTTTTTGGATTGTGAACACTTTTCGTTCAACACGTATTCAGAGATTCTTTTTCGTTTTCGAGTTATTTGCAAAAGAAATATTTAGGGGCCAACCCTTCAACTCCCTAATGGGGACGTTTAGCGAAAAATGAAAGGTTGCATATTGTTCAGAACATAATTTTGAACATCTTTTGTTCAATATTACTTATCAAAATATTTCTCACTTTCGAGATATAAAGCGTCAAAGATTTAGCGTTCTGGCCCCTTGTGGCCCCTAATAATGTACCATACGACATGAAAATTATAATGTTTAGTTGCAGATGGCTGAGATAAACATCTTTGCTTCAGTAATATATTACAAAATATTGCTTGATAAAGAGTTATCGATTAAAGACTTCTGGCCTTTTTCTGCCCCTTATGCGATGAGTCAGCGCTTTTTTCTTGATATCATTTTAAAGATCTTGTTGTTCTGCACAAATGATGTTCAATATGTTTTTACAAAATATTTATACCTTAAAAGATATGATGCAAAATGTCTACAAAAATCACTCGTGATTTGTGTCCTAAATTTTGACCCCTACCGAGCTTCCATACTAGGAACTTCCGGAAACTATCCAATCTCCCAGTAACATGGGGACATGTCTTCTATCGTCACTAAAAATTTCAGCGCTCTAGCTCAAACCGTTTTCGAGAAAATGAACGGACAAGGAGGTCCTCTGAATTTTGATAAAAGGGCGATAACTCTAGACCGGAAGTGATTTTCACAAAATCCTTCAGCCGGTATAAACTTCAGATGATTTTACAACAACCCTGAAAATTTGAAGCAAATCCATCGAACCATCTCTGAGAAATCTTTTGCACAAAATTTGTGCAGAAAAAAAGAATAATAATAATAAGAAGAAAAGTGAAAAAGAAACATAAGAATAATAGAAGGGTCTTCCGCTGAAGACGGAAGACCCTAATAAGAAACAGAGTAAAAACAATATGTTCCCAAACTTCGTTTGGGGAACATAAATATCCAGTAAAATCAGTAAAACTCTCGCACACAGGTTTATAAAAGTTCAAACAATCATAATAATAACATAGTTTTTGTTTTTATACCACATAGGGCGGTTTAATTCTTATTTCTCGAATTAAGAATATAAATGATAATAAACGCGTTAATGTCTCCCCGCCTTTCATAACAGCCGTTTCTATGGCAACTGCCATAAAGTTACTATCAAAGATACTTAAAATGTTTTTTTAATTTAAAATATTCATCAAGTGTCTATATTTTTATTTGTAATTTTCAACCAATTCCACTGAAAAATAAATAAGATATGAAGAAATTCCACGAACTTTTGGATCAACCCTCGTACATTTTATTAATACCTCTAGCATTCTTTCATTGTTTTAGATTTCTGAATGAAGAAACGTTTCAACTGTAAAATATACTTACTTAATTTATTGTGCATACATATTGCTGTGAAAATTTATATATTCATATTCTTGATTTAAAAATATATTTTATGTTTTTCTCCTCTTTTTATCTAATAGATTTGGAAAACTTCCGAAGGTCAAAGTCAGAGAAATAACTCACGCTCATCTTATTAGCTATCACCCAGACCGGGATCTCCTTCCTTTGGTTATGGCAAATTGCCAATATACATTTGAAGTAGGAAAAGGCACGAAAGTGGAATACAACTTTGCAAATCTGGAAAGACAGTTATCCGATCGGTTTCTGTTTTCAAAATCCGTTATTGACCTGCATCCAAAAGAGGTTTTTTTCTTAATATATTTATGATACATTGATGTGAACATTTCTAATTCTAAGTTTTTACATCACTTTTTTTGTTTTTATCAAAATGAACTTGTCCATTTTCAGTTCGATCTAATGACATATAGGTCAGAATCAACAAATGCCAATGTTTTCCGAGAACTCAGAAAAAAGATTAAGCAGGTACAACTCGTTTTACACTTGAACACCATTTATGTATCGATCTGTTCAGAAAAACGATGCAAACATTTCCGTAGTCCTTATCATAATCGACCATGTGTTTGTTAATGAGGATGAATACAGATTCCATTCCAGAGTTGAGTAGAAATGTTTTTATAAACAATGTTGTATAATAAACAATCTTTAATAGGTTCCTTTGAACACTGCCGTGGCCAAACAGATATCCACCGAGTTCAGAAGATACCAGGATATCTGTGATGCTTTGGATAAATTGGACATTGTCATTAGATTTTTACAGTCGGTTGGAGGCCAAGGGAACACTATGCTGGACGATTTTATGCGCCACTCACTAAAAATGGAAACTACCTTTCTATCCCAGAATGTAAGGAAACATGCCAAGTTATGATACAATGTTTAAAAATCTTTTGAATGCTAGCTGGAGATTTGGTAATAATTTTTAGAGGTTTGAACGTAACTAAACGATTTATTATTCACATAACGTATATCAATATTTTCCTTTCTCTTGCCTTCAAAAGCATTTGAGAAAAAGACTATCTCTATTATTTATTTTCCTGTTTTTTTTTCACTAGTCAGTTTTTAAGCAATATCTGTTTTGTTTTTGCACCTAAAAATTCTCAAAGATCTAAAGTGTAGTTGCAAATATCTCGGTTACACTAAAAAAGTTTACAAATTGGTTATGTTTTAAAAATACAAGTATTTTACAGTTGGAGTGGCTCGACATTGTTTTACTTTTTGCGAGCATATTTTGAATAAAAAAATTCTTTTTTTTTCTAAGAAACATTTAACAATATTGTTAGCTGAAAAATCTGATTCGAAATCTTCAAAAAAATCCTTAGATGAAAATGAATAAAGCAATGATTCCTTTATTTCAAAAACTTATTTGTTTGACACAGGTGCATTGTTTTGCTATTTACAAAATATTTTATATTTATGTCTTTTAATTAGATGAGAAAGACTTGTCAGTGTAAACATGTCCAGTCCCTGTGGATTATACTGGCAATGTCAAAAACCAAAAACCAAGCTACGTACAAAAAGGTAATTTTTAATTGAAAATGTTTTATCTGTCTATCCATATCTGAGAGTCATTTCTTAGTTACCTCAATAAAACAAATTTCATTTTGTTTTTCGCTGATTTTTTCCTCACCTTAATGGATGAGGGTGTATGTATTTAAAATGAAAATATTTTAACCTTTTTTATCCATGAATTTTTTCGCAACAACGTAAAGGTTAATCGATTTAAAGTCTGATTGTCTACTAATTTCGAAGTTAAATAAATACTTGGACATTTATCCAATAATTTTATTTACCAAAATGTTTTTGCTATGGTATGTACTTTCAACAAACATGATTGTCTACTAATTTCGAAGTTTAATAAAAACTTGGACATTTATCCAATAATTTTATATAAGAAAACGTTTTTGCTAGGGTATGTACTTTCAACAAACATGAACTTTAACTGCAGGATGTGTTCGAGGGAGTTTCCGATACATACAGACTGGAATTGACAGGTGCTCAAAAAGAGATTGTTAACAACATTTGTGAGGAACTATCAGTTGAGAGACTCAACACAATGATAGAAGTCTTGTATGAATGTATCGTCCTTACCATTGACAGTGGAAGTGAAAATGACATTGAAGATGGAGATGGTATTCCAATGGCTAATTACAGGTAGGTTATAAGTCGACAATTTTTTTTTATTTATTCAATAAATTCTGTCAATTGCCACACCCGAGAAAAAATATTTCAGTACGTGTACAAATGTATTACAAAATAGAATAAACTGTTACGTTTCAAAATGCATCTTAGGTACTTAACTGTTTTGTAACATTAGGGATTGAAACAAAGTTATGATCAGAGAATATGTTGCATGTTTTCACGGTGATATTGTTGATCAAAAATGAGAAGTTCAAATGACTAAAACTGTGAAATTTATTTAAGAAAGTTCATAGTACAGGTTTATTAATTCTGTGGTATTTTAGCTGATATGATCCGAAGGCTTCTTTGAGTTTTTCTGATCCAAAGCTGTCCGTATGTCTGTCTGTCGTATTTTATCAGTAAGCTATTCATATTTTCAACTTCTCAAAAATCACAAGTCAAATTTACCGAATCATGCTACAAAGCAACCTTACGCAATGTTGATTCAAAGGGAGAAACAAATTCAATATTAGTGTGAAGTGTATCTTTCACGAACTAGAGGGATTGAAAAGAAAACAACTAAAAGTAAGCTGCATTTCAAATTTTATCAATATGTTTATTCAATTTATAAGCTCATTAACTACCGACAGAACAAAAATGTTTAACATGGAATATAAAGGGAAAATGGGAAATATTATTGAAAAAAATACTCACCTTCTTAATAACAAATAAATTATTATCATGATTAAAAGAATGTATTCTTAAGGAGGGAAGATTAGGGTTTGTTCAAATCATTACTTACTTCTGGGGATACATGCAGGGTGGAGCCGCAACAGAACATAAACGTTTCCATAGTACAATGTAATATGTAGGAAAAAACTAAGGAACAAGAAATTCATCTATAAATATAGAAGCATCTTCAGATAGTGGAGTTTTAAGCTATGAAAGCATGACCTGTAAAGGGTGTGTTCACAACAGGGCATCACATTTTACCTGAAGAGTATACCTTTAAATGTATTTCTTAAGAACAGTAAAATTATAGTCATATGAATACAAAAGCGTCATCAGGTAGCGGAGATTCCATTTCTTTCTCAAATCATGATCCCTAAGGTAAGGATGGTACCACATGTATATTTTTATCAAACTCTTAAATCATTTAAGAAAGTAATAAAGCCTATTTCGTGCCAACTTTTCTGAAACATATATAAATCTAAGGCCGATGAAGTTGTTACCATGATATTTACATGGTTTTAAAAACTGGTATTTTTCTGTCAAACAGTATCCGGGATACGTTAATGGTATACGTGGAAGACCCAGCCTATGATGTCGATGATACCTTCCTTCCGGATTGGATCAATGAAACGCTGAACAAACTTCCGGGAGACAAAGAAGAACCCGATTGTATTTTTACGTGTCAGTCCATGGATCTCTGGATTTGCCTTTATGAAAACTATTCAAAGAGGAAAATCTGAGCACATAGACAAAGAATATTGTTTGGTGAAATGAAACTTTAAATATGATGAATTTAAGTTTTTTGTATTAAATGGAACACTTATTGTATGAATTACATGTAAACAACATATTCATGTTACTGTAAAAAAATTATTTATTCAAAACAAACAAGAAGTATGATAATTGCCTTTTTGCTGAACCTCCCTATTTATTACTCATATTGCATTTAACGGAAAGAAAAATACTAAGTAATTAAAAAAATAAATGTTTGGTTCGCAACTAAGAGATATGTTGTTTAAATTCAATAGATCAGTATTAATCAAACTTTTTGTGAACAATAAAACATGAACAGAAAAGATTAGTTGAGAAATTGTAGTAAAGAAACCACCCTACTTTCATTTTCTTTTTGTTTTGAGTAGTGAAGTCCATTGTGTGACCATAATACTAACCTCAAATGCTAAAATATAATAATAATATATTTCCAACTTTTCCCCCTAAATTAATGTATCAATTTTTAAGTCATTTACTGCATACATTACAGTCTAATACGATAAGAAACGATTTACTTTATTTCAATTATCCATTAAATGACTCTCTTACATGTAAATTTGCAGTAGCCTTTTGTGTACATTCTTTTGTTTTGTGCTTGAGTTTATCTTATAAATGATATAGAGCTGAATATGATGAGAAGATGAAATACCACCTTAAAAGCATCTTGAAAGATCAGAATTTTATAAACAATGTTTATAGACTGGAAATTAAATAGCAGTACTCGGACGTTCATGGTGATGGAGATGGTGTTTATAAAGTGTTTAAAAAATTGATTTAATATCTTAAATATATACATGTATATATTGTAGATTTACATGTAAGGAACAGATGTCTATGTGAGAAAGAAATAATAATCCATGAAGTTTGTTGTAAAATTACGCTATTATTTAAAGAATACTGATATGCATATGATAAAATTAATTGTCTTTGTTGCCTTATGTTAAGTTGGTATGAGGAGTTATTTCTTTGCAAAAAAATAACACGATTTGTTGAAAGATATATGATTTTGTTTGGAAAACCAATGTATACTGATATATCAAATAGTATAAAACATTGATAAAGGTCAGTGCAGATGTCTTTGTTTCAGAAAGGTCTGAATCGGTTTTCTTTGCATTAATTAATTAATATAGGATTGTTAAACATATTTTATGCCTTTCAATTTTTAACCATCAGTCATGATGGTGTGATGATTTTCGAAAATATATTGACGCTAATTAAAACTATAATTTGGAGGTCTTGGTGAGCTATATCTTGATATTTTCTATACAAAATATATATTTGGAGCTTGCATACTTGCGCTTTTCATGATAATCTAATAAAATGTGCTTTTAATTGGATTGTTTTCGCATCTTTTTTACAACGTAGAATCTACATGTGCAGCTGTATACATGGCTCCATTCAATTTATTGTATTATTTTTGTACCAGGGTTGATCCGAAAGTAATATCACAACTACTTCATGTAGAAGCAAATATACTTTGAAAATTCGGGAAGTTTCTAGTCTGCTGGGGCGACTTCGATTCGTACCCGAGTACGTACTCGAGTTACTTGAGTTTCAATCGAACGACCATAGTTACTACTCAAAATACGTCATATGACCTTATGAACTCTACCCAAGCTAACCCAACCATACAGTAGGATTACTAGAGTTTCGATATGGCGGCGTCGAAAGAAAAAACCGAACGTAGGAATTATTTTTTACTAAATATTATGTTAAGCATCGCTTATCCTTAAAAGCAAACTTCGAAACGCACTTTATACATAAACGCTTTATAATTTATATGATTTAATGTTTATTTGATTAGATTTTTCAGGCTTACTGCTCAATAACAGCAGAGACATAAATTCAAATTCGAAACCAAAAAAGTTCAGAGCTGAAAAAGAAAAACATTTCAACTGCAGCAAAAGCTATAGAAAAAATTAACTCAACAGATGATGTCAAAATGGACCTATTCGACCGCCTTTTAAAACTCATAGAGGAAATTTATTTTATTTTCGCTACCCTTCAAACTCATATGAGTTCGCTTGAAAACCACATGTTTGTGTAAACATCCGGTCATGTGACGTCAACCAAGAGTTAATACTCGGGTATGAATCGAAGTCGCCCCTGGTTACCAAAATCACGTGACTGCGCATGAGCGGTTCCCTTGCCGTTGCTATGCATAATGTAAATAAATCGCCATTTTCTCCTCGCTTCAACGAAACGCATTCGATCGAATGCATTGGGTAACAATGAAATACCGGTATAAAATAAAAATTAAAATTTACTTACCTTAGATATCAAAATCATCCATGCTGTCAATACTATTGGGAGACACAATAGGCCATAGCACATTTTGATGTTTCTTGGGCGATGTAGGTTGAGATTTGTCACAAGTAAGTCTGGGGATGAGAATTGCGGGAGGGGAAGGGTGGGTTGTACATAGACTTTATAAAATTTAGAAATTTTAGAAATGGATCTGAGGAGTCTTTTAGCTATTTTTACGTATATGTGTTCAGGCAAAAATTAATGTCATAGAGAGATTTACAGTACCGCTCACTGGCAATGATTTTTTTTTTATCATTGCTCTCCAAGTTAACTCGATCGTGTTTGTGTGTGCACCAGTGGTATGATCAACAAAATGCAGAGAATGTCATATACTTTCCAGCAGTCAGATATTATAGTAGTTCCAGGCAAAATATTCTGTTTGATGATGCTGAGTAATGTTTCTCTAGAACGATCTGTCACGGTCATGAAAAAAACCCACTTCTTTGATCCTCTATATATTCCTCCAAACAACCACACGCCTTCAACTTTTCGTCCTTTATGACATTTTCTTTTCCAAATTGCTCTCGTCTATTAATAACTTTCCCTCTCCTCCTATCTATCAGATTTCTTTTCTAATACACAGGTTCAAAACTCCCGTGAAAAATTGAACCAGTAGACAATGGTTTTTGCTAGCAATTTCAAATTTGTGTCTGATAGATATTTCACTTACTTTGTGCGCCCACAAATTAGTTATTAAAAGAAATTTTTTCCAGAATTAATTTATGTTTCTTGAACTAGCTCCCAACTGTTAAAGACCCTTTCTTGTTCGAGCATTTTTTGTGAAATCAATCATAACATTTAGTCCAATTAATAACCACTGAATTAAACAAGCTTAATCGGCGCTTTTCTAGTAAATATTCTTTAACTTCACCGGCATTTCATACAATCAGCTGTTTCTGTTTACAAATAACGACACATTTTTAGTTTACCAGTGACGAAAATCTCATGAATATTAATCAATTTCTACAGAACGCACTCGAAACAACTTAGAAGTTGACGACATAAAAAGTCGATATTACAAGAATTTAAAGTGTTTAGAAACGTTTTTCAAACCTCATGTTTTACAAGGAATTCATTTCTGGGCTTATTTTGACGAATATTGCCCTTTTTTATTGACACAATCGCTTTATAATAATACACTGCTTTCGGCGGCACATATTTTAGCGCCAAAGGGACCGGCATACTAGATGTGTTCTGAATATTTCTCTAGTCAGAAACCAGAGAGGAATCCTGCCTAAAGAAAATTAAAATACAATCTTATGTTAAGAACAATTCATTCTTTTTATAATAATGTTGTTTTTGTCACAGCGGTTAAAACACAACAGAATCAAAGCAAAAAATTACGAGTTTGTTGAAGTTTGTTTCTTGATTACGGGGTTAAAAAAGCAAATCTTAGGTATATTTAATGTGATTTATTAAAAAAAGAGGATTATAGTGATGCCTGTTGATAATATGGTCATCATTTTTTTCCCAAAGAAGGCAAGCAACCATCTCTTTGTCCGGGTCAGAATTTCATCTGACATTGTAAACAACATAACGGAATGAAAATACGAGCAATAAACAAAGTTGTTTCAGGGAACATTGCTTTATTAACAACTTCATCCTTGCAGGCATATTTTAAAACCATAATTTCCGTCGCCTGCGACGTATACTGGTAAGTGTGTCAATTATTTTACAATCGTGGAGTAGGACCTGATCAAAAATCACAGATTCGAGTCCTCTGAGGGACTTGGAGACCAGTCAGTCGGATGAGACTGTATAAACTATCAGAATACTGTAAACCAACTTTTATTCGATCGCGAGAAAATTTTGCGAAGTTCGCGACAGCCTCTTCATCGTGAATATTTCTCGCCGCGAATCAGTCCTGAAAGTCTCTTTGTCTTTTAACAACTGATTTTAAAAAAATGCTTGATTGCGAAAGTTAATCGTCGCGAAATAATTTAACCTCAGTAAATCGCGAAATAAAGTCGTCGCGAATAAAAGTAGGTTTACAGTAGTTGTTTGTACGGAAGAGTTCCCTCATTGCTCAATGGTCCTCAGTGTCGAGAATGGGTATATATAAATTTCCAGCCTTCCGTGGTGGCTTATCCATATGAGTGAAAAATAATACGGAGCGGCATTAAACAACAAATAAACAAACCAAAAACCATGAGTTTGGAATACATGTATGTTATTGTCTGCAGAGATAATGTTGTTCATAACATCATGATCACTGAAAAAGGATAATGCTCTTTGCGCCCTAAAGCAAGGAATCAAACTCGTGATCTCTGTTTACATAGTCTTCTGTAAGTATGTGTTAAGTATTATGCTATTATAGCTATGATTTTCTATCTGGTCCATATAAGTAAATATAAACATAGATAAAATGACTCAAAAATGTTAACTCAGCTATTTGTTGATTTTAATTTGTAATATTAAAAAGAATTTCACATACATAAACATTGCATGAAACATATTAAAGTAAATAAATAAATACAACTGAAGCACAAAAAACCCAATCTACACCAAGAGGTTAATTTGATAATCAAAAGCAGTATATATTTGGTTCCAAAGCAAAAAAGTACAATATTAAGACTTCATTAAAATTAATTATGTTAATCAATATGTTGATTTACAGCTGTGTGTTGTGGAAATCTTTTTGAAAGTATCATTTAAAAATGTTATGGATATTTCCTCTGTTGATTTCATTGAGTAAATCTAGTTTTGTACAATGTAAGTTTTTTTTTTGGATTATTTAAGAAATAAAGTCAATTTAAGAAATAAAGTATTTAAGAAAGAAGTCCTCATCTCGAATTGTTGTTTGAAATATAAACGCCGCGGCTAACCCCTCGGCTTTCATCTTTCAAACAACATTTCTCGACCTTGGAGGTTATTCAGCATCATTCACGAAAACAAGGACTTTTTTTCTATTC